AAGTATACCTTAAATTTAGTTCTGAACAACTTTAATTAATAACTCTTGACGAAAAAATCATCTCAAAATTTAATAATTTGCTTGGGACCAATTGGGACCGTTTAAGGACCGATACAACCCTAGCCTTTTCAGCCAAAAAATTGGCCAAAAACATATGAATTTGGCCGAATTGGCTGGTTTTTGGCCATTTTTTGGCCGGCCAAAAATGCTTGACCGATAAAAATTACCAACACTGACTATTGGTGCGTTTTATAATACGTAATCGTGATAATATTCAATCTTTATTCAGATAATCAAAAATATATCAATCAAAATACTGCTAAGCAATTACTATCGCTATATAGCGATAGTACATAATATTAAATAAATTTTTTTTATGGTTAAATTACCAGAATGAATCTATAGCTGGGTTGTGAATAGACAGGTATTAGACGCCCATATAAAAGCAAGGCTCGCCCAATTAATGATCTGACTTGTCGTCAGTGTTACGTATATAAAAACAAAGTGGAGAGTGATAATCTTACAGTTACCAGATAAAGCGATTTTTTAACCAACGGAGTTTGCCTCGAGCCTAGTTGTTTCTAAAAAAATTATAATTACCTGTCACAATAACACAATAACGGGTTGATATCAGTTTTAGGTAGACATATCAAATTAAGCAATTTGCTGCAATTTGATTGGAAGATGATCAAACTTTTCAATGACTAATTTAGATAGACTATAAACTCTGGCTACAAACTCTACGTTTTGTTCTTTTCAATATTTACTCTTCTTAATTTGTAAAGAAATTTATAAAGATGAATTTTTTCCGACTTACAGCAGATTTAATGCACTTATTGTCTATTATTGTTTTGCTATTAAAAATTCAGAAAACGCGATCATGTGCTGGTAAGTTGTTACATGTTAATGAAAGCGTTGGTGGCAATGTCATCACAAGTTTCGTAACTGATAAGAATTTAGTGCATTATATCTTTTCATTTTGAATAATTTAAATGCTTGAATATAAATGTTCATCGCTTATTATTTCACAAATTCACAAATTACTTTTATGCTTTTATTTTTTAGGAATTTCCTTCAAAACTCAGCTTCTCTACGCAGTGGTTTTTATCACTCGATATCTTGATCTTCCTAACTGGATTTCGTTGTATAACACTTTGATGAAAGTCTTCTTCATTACCACATCGGTTTATATTTTGTACTTGATGAAACTCAAATTTAAAGCCACATATGATCCTAATCAGGACACTTTTAGAATAGAATTTTTACTGGGAGCATGTTTATTGTTAGCACTAGTATTCAATTATACTTTTACATTTATTGAGGTGCTAGTTTAATTTATTTGTATGTATGTCTAAATATAATGATTTGTATGTTATAATAATAACAATTTATTATTACAGGTTCTCTGGACCTTTTCGATCTATCTTGAAGCGGTTGCAATTCTTCCGCAGCTTTTTATGTTATCTCGCACAGGAGAAGCAGAGACTATTACAACACACTATTTGTTTGCGTTAGGCGCATATCGTGCCCTCTATTTATTGAATTGGATTTGGAGGTTTTACACTGAAAATCACGTGGACTGGATTGTATGGATTGCTGGTGCAATTCAGACTGCGTTATATAGCGATTTCTTTTACATTTATTACAAAAAGTAGGTTTTCATTTATTATGGAATTTCCTTTTTCTTAGATTGATACACAACCAATGGGGGCTTAGAGTCAAATTTATTATATATGCCCGTTGTGCACTGACTAAAAGACCTGGGGGTCTAATGCAAAATACTCATTATATTAAATGCCCGGGTATCATGACGGTATTTCGTATCGGGGTGATATTTTTGTATGGCATATTTCACGCAATACAGAATATGCGATAATGGGAAAAAATACCGTACAAAATGCTCGTACAAAATACCGGATGGTAAATGTAAATTAAAATTACTGGGTATTTTAAGTAGTGGTACTGAAAAAAAAAGATCATTTTTAGTAAGCTCACTATGATAAATATCAACCTCTAATCATTTGATTATTATATATCGATGAGTTACTAGCAAAGTGCTGTACTAAATTATTATACACTAATGTGTATCAAAATTTTACCATGAACGAGACACTCACTTTGGGATATAAACTAATAGAAATTACAATTTCGGTTATACCCCGTTTTGCTGTGTACAACCTACTTGATAATTCATTTATTAACGTACATTTCAATTATATTTAGAGTATTGCACGGTCAAAAATTCGAACTTCCACAGTGAGTCTCTAAAAGTTTGTCATTTGGGAGGTGGTAGATTCATGTATAATTAATCATTTTTAAATTAATTTTAGGGGTGTGGTTTGAACATCCTTAACAGAAAAGCTTATTTTAATTATTATTCATTATCAGATTTTATTAGTATCATAAATGTAGATGAATGTTTTAATATTCATAATTCTTGTATACTTTCAAAAGGTATTAAAAAATTTACTTTTAGGTGTCTAAATTATATTATTGACAGAAGTATGGAAGTGAGGCATTTATATATTCAATTTATATTATCAAATAGATGAATAATGTTAGGACATTTAATATTTTAAATTGTTAGTCGCAATAAATAATATTAATAAAAAATTTGTATATTCATTGAAATTATTTTGGTACCTAAAATAACGAACTTTTTTAATTGGTATATTCAGTAGCATAGATTATTTTGAGGTCGGGTTGTTAATAGAATGCGCATTTCAGATGCCTGAACTTATCTGGTGGGCTGTCTGCTTGCACAAAATTTGTCAACTTATAAATGACCCAGCGAGCCGGCCATCTGCATATAGACGATTAGGATAATTTGCATAGCGCTGCTAACGCTAACAGTGCATACTTCCTCATATAGTATATTGCAATCGCCTGTACTACAGTACTACTCAAGTTGCCAGGGGTTTTTAGAATAAGACGGGGGTACTCACGATATCGCTGGTATATAGTTTGAGTTTTACGATTTGGATCACTACAAAAATTTTTTGTAAATAGTTATTTAATAGCATATACAAGAAAAAAAAATACATGGCAACTCCGGTTTCAACAGCAATACAAGTGACATATTGCGGAAGTAAGGATTCATACCTTTTATCATTTTGGAGGCCTTCGATGAATCTTAATATTTCTCGACTTAACACTATTGGTATTTTTATTCGTTTGAAATACAATAACGATTTATAGTTTGTTCGTTGCCCCCAGAGGTATATTAAAAATATTATTTATTACCTTGCAAATTTCATATTTATGTGATTATTGATTCTAATTTACCTTTAATCTACACGGAAAAAAGTATTGTGAATTTGGACCAACTCTTGATAAATGTAAAAAATGGCTACAAGAGAAGCATCCCGAAATGTTTGACAAACTGTACTCTGAACGTGCTTATCAGATTATAAACCTTAGTTCAATTGCAGTAAGAAATTTTCTTTGATCCTTATGTTTAAATTTTGTAGCTGAAATGAGCGAGCAGTTAGCTAAAACATCATTGGAAGATCAAAAACCGAGTAATGATGTAGAAGATAAAAAGAAAGCAAAAGGTTGGAATAAGTTACAAGTTTTGTTTAGTATATGATATTATTTTCGTGCATTCTTGTGAATTTAGTGTTTTATTTTTTTTAATTAATATAGAGGCAGCAAAAATAGAACGAGAATTGCAGAAAAAGATGGTAAGATATTTGACTTTTTTAGATTGATTTCGATGATATTTTAGGTCTGATAATATTCTCTTTAAAAATACCTAATATATGCCCGCATCCTTTATTCTTAGGCATCTAAAGTTATTATTACGCGTATTGCACGAAACAAACGAAAATGTGTTACGAATGTTTATGGTTTAGAAAATTTTGGTAAATTGAAGATATACTTTGGCATTTCTTGATCCATTTTTATAATTATCAGTAATTCAATTATTTGTTTATTTAGATATTGATTTGAAAAAAGCTGCTAAATCATTTGCAACAAAGTTTGCTTGTGGTTCATCAGTTGTTAAAAATAATCAAGGAAATGATGAAATCGTAGTGCAGGGAGATGTTTCAGAGGATTTATTTGAATTTATATTAGAAACTTGGTCAGATGTAAGTATTAAAAAATTGCTTTTCGTGCTGAAGTAACAAAAAATAAAAAATGAATATTTTATTCTTTTAAAAAAAATCGATTTATCTAATATAGGTTCCGGAAGATAATATTGAGCTCACTGAAGAAAAAAAGCCAAAGAAAGGATAGCTTTGGTAGAAATTTTGAGTTCTGTAAGTTATGATTTATGTTATTTTAGAATAAAAAATTATGTAGATGATTGTATGGGTAATATAATATATTTATTATTATATTGATACCTGAATAAAATTTTTTCAATATTGAATAAACTTGACAAACTCAACAGAATGGATGATTTAAAGTCAAATTACAATTTCACCCTCAATTACCCTTTCATCCAATCCAAGCTTTTTGATAGTTGTAAAATATCTTTCTAAGCTTTCTCTTTTTAAATATTTTAGAAGTTTTTGACGTTTATGTACTAACGTTCGTAGACCACGATAATTGTGTTTATCTTTGTGGTGATTTTTGAGGTGTTCATGAAGATTTAGGATACGTACTGTTAATATCGCGGCTAATAATAATGATGCGATTAATATTCCGCGATTTTATAATAAATGCAGGATTAAATAATCCTTACCTTGAACTTCCGCACTTCCAGTGTCATTCTCGTTCCTACCAAATTCTTCAATCGTTTTTTTAACATTATACATCATAATGCTTTTCGCATTCGAATTATGTAAACTAACTAATGATTTCAACATTTCAGCCTTTTTTTTTTCTTCAACTAATGCTGTCGAATTGTTAACTTTGTCATCGACTTTTTCACTTTCAACTTTAAGTGATTTTTCAACTTCTTCAGCAATTTTCTTTGGTGTTTTTTCGAATAGTAGTTCTTCATCCTTTCTGTCGAGAAAATAATTCATGTACCGAGATGCATTTAGGTCAGCAGCCGTTTTATAAACTTCTAAAGGTCGAAGTAAAGAGGTTGTAAATTCTGTAGGAACTCCAACAACCGGATCAGGCATCGATGCCTTCTCGGCTTCTAATTTGGATAATTTTTTTGCAATATTTTTTTTCTTTATTTCCTGAGGACGACGTTTTAATACTGGTGATGTGGTATGAAATGTGCGCTCTGAATGTTTTTTTAAACGAATGAATAATTATCTAAAATTTTTCTTGTTAAATTTGAAATTGAGTGTTTTCAAACTGAACATGAAATTTCCATTTGTACCTAATATTGGCGGTACCAATAAACATGCTTGCGAAGAAAAATGACACGTACAACGAGCAAACATTGAAACAATCTAAGTATTCAAGACCTTTACATATCGATATTATAAAATATACGATCAAGATTTTATTGGCCAATACATCCCCGGGAATATCTGATAATCATAGTTACACGAATTATCAATTTATTTTTTCTTTATTTTTTTCTTAAGTTTGTCGATCATTTTTCATATGATCTTAGTGTCACAACGTGATTTTTACAAAAATTTGAAATATGCTATTAATAAAACTTTTCACTATTACAATTAATTTTTATCAAATTTTTGTAGTAAATAGATTGGGTTATGTTCTTTATATAGTAAAAATTTTAATAGATAAAATATTTAAAAAAAATATACTTCTATATATTGAAAGTTTTCCGGGTTACACAAAATAATTAATTTTGATTGGTTCAAATCATATGATCATCATATGATAAAAAACAATACCTATTCTTTAAATACATATATCTCAATGAATATCTAACCAATTTCAATGATTTTACTACCATTAGAATCAGATAAATCTATTCTACAACTTTTACTTAATTTTTGTAAATAGTTTACTTAATAAAATATTTTTTAATTTTCAAAAGAAAATAATTGTGACACAAAAATCATATGAAAATTGATCGACATGCCCCCTACCCTTAATTCTATAAATGATATATATACTGCAGTATATACTGATTTATTATTTAACACATATTTATTGGCAAACAAATTTTAATTACAAAATTAAAATTCCATCGATGCTCGTGCTATGCGTAATAAAATGGAGGTTTTTTTTTTTTAAAAAAGAAAAAAATTATAAATAAATGAATCCCATCGTTTAATGATAAAGCAGTACAAAAAACATACCATGTTTTTTGTCTTTAACTTCGTTCAAAATACCGTTGACAAAGTTTTCGAAATATTTGATGTATGGTCTTAACGAAGTTTTCTCGTAACCTATGATATTAACGAATTTAAAATAATAATAACTTAATAAAGTTGACAATAAAATACGTATGAATAAGATATTTACCATGAACCTTTCGCTCTCCTTCAGTATGTTGGTTCAATTCTTGATATAGGGAAGAAACTGTAGGTACTTTAAATGGGTCAAAATTTTCACAATCATCTGGTTGAATCGGTACACAAGCACGTCCTATGAAAAGTGACCGTTTTTTAAACTTATGTCCGGATGTTGTTAAATTTATTATTTGTTACCATGCTCACCTGTTTTTGGATGTATGCAAAAAGGACTCTTTAGTAAATGGTTAATATGTTTAGACACTTCTTCATCGATTCTTGGGTAAGTATATTGGAGCATTATTTCCAATTTACAATTTTGAAGTTGTTCAGCTTTCTTTGAATACTATAATTTAAAATCCAATTTATATTAAGTGAATCTAATAGATTGAAATTTGTAATATCTTAAGGGTGAATGTTACCTTTCTTCCTGAAGCATTCGCAGCATATTCTAGTTCATAAACCAATTCCCCCCATTTTTCGACAGAAGATTTTGAATTTGACGCATTCCATTTATTAGACAATTTTTTTATTATTTCTAAAACGTATCAAATTAATTACAACTTAGTATATATTCGAATTTTCGTTTAAACAAAAACTAATCATAATTTTTACCATTATCTGGGATGCAATTTAAAACTTTGGTCCAATTTTCTTCAGAACCCAACACATCCTGATCTTTTAATACTATATCCTCAAAATAATTTTCGATGATCTCTAAAGACCGTCTATACATCATTGGTTAGTATTTATAAGAGAGAACGAATAATCTTATTTTCAAGATATTTACCTAAGAAATGGATGTAAGGCCCTGTTTAATTGCACTTTCTTGCTTACTTGTGCGCCGCCCTATGAATTAACTATGTGAGAGGCTATGTTATGTGAACCAACGTTGATTAAAATATAAAATATTACTTTTACGACTGAAAGGTATGATACAATTGCTGATCTAGTTTCATTACTTAATTTGCGAGCGCTTTCATCACAAACCCAGCAATGAACACCACGTCGACCCGAATATACCCAAAGTAAGTGTTTAAATCCGAAATCCTCTACCGAATTTTACGTGTTTTATGTGTTTAGAGAAAATAGAATTTTTTAAAAACTAATTTTTTAAAAATCGCGACAAACCTCTAAGAGCAACATCAATTATCTTGATTGCAACTGTCATGAATTTCCAGCATTTGTGACATATAGACGCGCCACTAAAAAAGCATGAAATTTTTAATTAACACATAATTTAATCAAACATTCATAGACATAAATACCTGCAACAAGTTCGAATATCATCATAATCAGTCATATCAATATCAAATGTTAATTCTTTCTCAGCAGGCTTAAAGGCAGATAGTCGCAGATATTTTCTATCTCTTGGCTAGTATGTTATAAGAAAACAAATAACTTTATAACTAACGATCTACCGATGATAACAATAATTAACATATAGCATACTTTAGCAGTATAAATTGCACCAATATCGATCTTCGTAGGACACATTTTCATGATCTCTGCTTTCAGATCTTCAACACCATTATAAGAATGATAACGGAGATACGCCTCCGATGGTAGCATGAAACTGAGTTCACGATTTTTAAATGCGGCATTGGATTCTAAAAGAAGTATTTACTATATTTGAATTTCAATTATAAAGATCCAAAAATGACGAATTTAATTTACCAGTTCCATAATTCAACCAATTGACATATGTTTTATAGGGAAAGAATCTTGAATAAAAAAAACTCAAAAGTTCTGGTGTAATTGCTTCATCTTCTTTGCTGTAATAAGTGACGGGAAAAAAAGTTAATACAGTTCATTAAATAATTATGACTAATAAACTTATAGCATCAAACCTGTCCATGGTGCAGATATTAAAATGTCCAAGGAACGTAGGCATACGCGTACATCGTTATATATCCGATATCTGATATGAACTATTACGCGTATATACGGTATCCAATTGAAAAATTTTCCGGAAATAGAAATTAATCGAAATTTTTGATACGTATAACATCTATACACGTGAGAATTGGTGTAACTTGAATCTTCATTTGTAACTTTATTATCATAAATTTCGGTAATGCCTTTAATTATTATCTGCGGGATTCCCTCAAGCGGGAAGACCACTCGTGCGAAGCAAGTAACGCAATATTTTCTTAATAGGTTTTCTAGTCAAGAAAAAGCCGGAACTGTACACCTTATCAACGATGAATCATTAGGAATTACAAAAGATAGTTATAGAGGTATTTTGCATTCGAAAAATTATTATTTCTTTCTTTGTACGGCTTTCTAAATTCATGAATATTGATTTTTAATTTTGAGTGAAGATACACGTGTTGAAGAAAAAAAAGCTCGTGCGTCGTTAATGTCAGCTGTCGAACGACTGGTTTCTAAAGAAGATATAGTAATCGCAGATGGAATGAATTATATCAAAGGATACCGATATCAATTATATTGTATCGCACGGGCAGTTGGTACCCCGCATTGTGTGGTAAGCTTTACCTAGTGTTTTTTTTGCTCATTGCACAACGCCATTATTGATGTCTGCTTTGTAGATATATTGTGGAACACCGATAGAAATTGCCAGAGAATGGAATTCCAATCGAGGTGAAGAAGGTTATGAAGCAACAATGTCAGTATTAACGAAAAAAATTTTTTTTATTTTTTTTAATGATATATAAATATACCTTTATTTTAGATTTGATGAACTTGTCAGCAGATTTGAAGAACCGGATGATCGTAATCGTTGGGATTCTCCACTTTTTACAGTTCTATGGGATGATCCTGCACCTTCATACGATGGAATATGGGATGCTATTATTGTCAAGAGAGCGAAACCGCCTAATTTATCTACTGTAGCGGTATGCATAGCTATATTTATTGTGATCTACTTAAGATGCCATTACCAAATTTTATATTCTCGGATTTTATGTTACATTTTTACAGAAACCTGTGAGCGAAACAAATTATTTATATGAACTCGAAAAGACTACACAAGATATCATTAATGCGGTTTTGAATGTGCAAAAGAATAACGCCGGGGCTGATTCTGTTACTATTCCTAACACAACCAAAACTATATCCTTTTTTTTATTTTATTTTATTGACAGATTTCTTATTTTAAGATTGGATCTTTAATGGACAATGAATGTTCTTTTTTTAGTACATTAAACTTCCTTCTCGCACGATAACGCTTTCTGAGCTAAGACGATTAAGAAGGCAGTTCACAAATATTAACAAGATGCATACGTTAGATGTAGATCGAGTAGCAGAATTGTTTGTCGAATATCTCAATACGAACATCAATCGATAATAGAATTTTTAATTTTTTTTATTGGGTGCTATAGAGTGTTTACAAGGAATTTTATTATCATTGTAAAAGTGTAAAACTCATACAATATTTAACATTTAGAATAATTACTAGAATTTTGTTATTATTCGGTATTTCTTCGATTTAATGGGTGTCGCGGCTGAAGTTGGAAATGGCTGAAGCTGAAAATTAGGGACCTATATTTAAAAATATAAGCCCTACCAAAATCCACTTATACTCAAAACTAGCCCTAAATCCTAACCTAACTATTATTGAAAATTTCATATTAAAATAATTAAAATTTCCAGCTTCAGCCGCGACAATAGGTAAAAAAAAAATGCATATTGCTATAATATTGCTCCTATTTGACGAAATCTTTTTGTGAAATGAGTTCTGTGAGCTTATAGAATTCACCAATTGAAATTGGGCGAAAACCTTTTAATATTCTATGAATGTTGCTGAACAAACTTTTACTGTTAATATTTCGTGTTTTTTATCACTTAATTTAGGGTTATAAAGGTGGTTTATTCTTAAAATACAATCATTTATAACTGATAAAATTTAAAGTTTACCGTTCGTTGCAGGCAGCTAGTAAAGCAACTTTTAGGTTTTTTTTTTTTTAAACACTTTCGGACCTATTTAGCGTTTTTTTTTTTTTTTTTTTTTTAGCCAGAGGAAACCTTCAAAAGGCGACTAAAGGTGTTACCCCCTAGACAGTGTAAGATTCTTACTCACTAAAACCTCTGGTGTAAGTGTTTTCGTAAAGTATGACCTGACTCATAAAACAAAAACACCTACGCAAAAAAAGGACCCTGATAAGATTTAAAATTTTAAAAAAGCAATGCGGATACTTACACTCATCAGGGTCAAAAGGGGCCTTGCCAGGGAGGAAGGAGACTGAGTTTTATAAAATACTTACCATGAAAGAAACCCAATGTGGGTACCTTTCAAAAACGAAAGGTTAAATAGGCGTAGCAACCGAACACAAGTGTGAACAAAACGAAACACTTATCTCAATAAGAGGTAACCACTTCCAAAAGGTCTTTAAGTATGAAAAGGAAAAGTAAATATACAAAAAAATAAAAAATAAAAGTCTACTTGTAAGTTCGACGTGTAAAAAAAAATAAAGGTTTATATGAAAGTGAGATAAGTAACAAAATATAATATTATCGCTGTGGTCGTGGTTGAAAAAGAAAGGCTAGTTTTGATGAGTTAGCAAACTGCGTTTTTATATTTTCGCATCACTTATTTTCACGTTTTCGCTGGTAACACAACCTCCTAAAGGAAATGGCCAATCAATGATTATCTTGATTATCTGTTATCTCGACGCGTGTAAAACGCGTCGGAAGAAAAATTTATTATAATAGTAAAAAAAAAATTTACTCTTAAATCTGCATTACTAGAGAACGTGCATTACCCTATATATGGGCTTGGTGCTGAGAAAAGGGACCAAATTGACAAAAAAAAATTTTCTTTACAAAAAATCAATTATCTTATAAATTAGAATCACATGATTTTGGTACCATTCTCTCATGAGACGAATCGATAATGACCAAAAGTGGCAATTGTAGGCTCGGTCTTCCTGTAGTGCACCAAGCCCATATCTTAAATTGTATTCATACCCTAAACTTTTCTGATTCTGACCAATCAGCATCTATCACGGGAACTTCGCCTAACTTCTAAGAAATCATCTTACATATACATGCACTACGTAACAAAAGAAATTCCATCATTACTGACCCTAACCGAGATATCACATTTTAATAAGTCAATCCAGTCGATAGAAGCGTGGAGAAATTAGTAAATTCCGTAGAATCGTTGGAATATTATGCAAATGTAATCGATATAAAAAGAGATGTTGAATTCAACGCCCATTCCCTCATCAAACCCAATCGACCTTCGCTCGCTCGACAATTACGATGGTCCAGTACCTTAATTTTCCGGATCATATCTTCGTTTCAGTTCTAATTACTGTATTACTTAAAATTACCAATTCAATTTATTCTGGGATTTAAAGCTTTTCATTGAATTTACCTTTGGCCGTCCGAAATTCTTCCAACCACATAATTAAGTGTATACCTATGCTTTTCAAAAAATCTTGACTAACATTATAAGGTTTTATTAACACTCGAGTCCTGGAATCGTCTTAATAACGCGGTCATTTTGATGAAATCATTCAAAACGGACCAGTGGGACCAGTTGATCAAAAGTTAAAGCAAAGATACAATAATAATGATAATCATAATATGTAATTAGGTTAGTCCGGTGATACATAAAAAAAAAAAAAAAATCGCGTAAGAAATCTTGTTCAATTTTGCAAATATGACTATTCGTTTTTTGGATAATAAAACTGTTCAAAAACTACGCGCATTTCATGTTTCATCAGTGGCACAATGTGTAGTTGAACTTGTTCAAAACAGTAAGATCAAATTTGCACACGAGTTTGCTTTCTGGAAAGTACATTGTATTTGACTTTACTGAAACATGTATTAGGTCTCGATGCCATGGCAACTACAATTGAAATTCATGTTGATCTGACAAAATATTTCATACAAGTTATTGACAATGGAAACGGAATCCCACCCACTGATATGGATAAAATTGGACAGCGACACGGTATTGTTCTCTAGCAGTTAAAGTTTCCACATTATTTTTAATGTTTGTTGGATATAGTTAATTTAAATTTCCGTACATATTATAGCCACGTCAAAATGTCATACATTGGAAGACTTAGCGCATATAAAGACATATGGGTTTCGCGGAGAAGGTCTTAATTCAATAGTTTGCCTCAATAATTACAATTTATTTTTTAACTATATACTAATGCCTTATTTATAATTTAAAGCACTCGCGAGCTTGGCTGAAATCTCAACAATGGAAATAATTAGTAAACACTCTGATTATTACGATACTTGCTGTGTCATAATCAAGGTCCAATACACACATATCATGCTTGCACATGTATATATTATCATATATTTTTTGCCTAATGTTTTTTTCTACTTTTTAGGGTGGGCTTCGTCTTCAACTAGGTCCGACTCGAAATAGTGAGCGTGCAAAACCTGGAACTATAGCAATAATCCGTGATTTATTCTATACGGTACGATATCATAAAAGTAGAAATGACTATATATATTAAAATTGTAATAATTTATTTTCCCAATTTAGTATCCAGTTCGTAGAAAAATGCAATCTGTTAATACGATCGCGAACGAACTGGAAAATGTTAAAAAAGCTGTTGAAATATTAGCATTAATAAACCCTCAAGTGGCATTTACTCTGGTTGATGCGTCGATAGATAGAAAAATAGTTAACACGAGGAAGGTAAGTACTTTTAAAATTTAGAATAAGTTCTTAGTTGAAAATTTTTATTGTTTATTAATATACTTGATTGAATTATATATTCATATTTGATGATAAGAACTTTCTGCTACACAATATTATGTATTATTAGGCTTCGTCAACTATTCCTACTATTTCTACATTCCGGCAACTTTACGGCGCTTCTTTAGCACAGGCATGTATGAAAATGTGATATGTTGTATGATAAGCGTATGTATGTAATGCTATCAAATTATATTATAGAATCTTGAATCGGTTTATGCAAAAGAAGACAGCATCCAAATTGATGGATTTTTTTCGTTAAAAGGTTTACACATAAAAGTATGTTCTAATTACTTTTTTAATTTGATCTTGTTCCATAGTACACCCATATTGATGAATTCAATTCCTTATAATTAAAGAATCATCAATATTTCTGTGCGTATTTTATCACCATTTGATGTAGTGTTACTATTCTTTGTGTGCATGTCCTCTGATTATCCTGTTTTCTATGCTAAAAAGATGTCAATAAACGTTTCATTGCTAACAATGAGTTGTATAAACTAATCGATGATTTATTTAACCAAAGCAACTTTGGAAAAAAGGTAAGGTTTTTATCATTATTACAAGATTTACATTTTTTTTTAATCATGATATGTTTCATTAGTTCAACGAAGATTCAATTTTGAAATCGAAATCGGAATTTCCAGGCAAATCGAGTGAGTTGAAATTTTTGTACTATATTTTTATCCAATGTAATGTGAGCTCTTTATGTAAATTTTTTATTTTTAATAGGAAAGAATGTATTAACAAAGTCATTGGAAAAATATCCTATTTTCTTCATTCATATTACTTGCTCAACAACGGATTATGATATATCTTTGGATCCAGCTAAGAATATAATAGAGTTTGAGGTCATTTTTTAATCTAAAAATAATTCATTCCTTATGCCTGAATATTTAACTCTAACGCTCTTGACGTTTTTAGAACTGGCCAAAGATCATGGATCTTTTATCGAGTCTTGTGACACAATTTTTATCATGTCATGGATTTTTAATGCAAGATATGGTGGCATCGAATGTGAAAAATATTAATGCTTCAACAAACAATAATAAGTCAAGAGTTAGACCTAGCTACGATTTGTCATTGTCATTTGAGGACTTGACGCATATAAAAAGTGGTGGAAGGCAACAATATATTTTCCAAGACGAAGAACTGAAAGGTGGTCCATACAGTATGTTATCTAAAAATGTTAACGAGTCTGAAAACATTTTAGTTGCATCAAAAAAAACCGTGAAAATAAAAGAAAATGAATATGCAAAGTGGACAGAACCTCATACCAAACAAGAATTTTATATAGATACGCGGACTGGAAATTCGTGAGTAATGGTATTCTATCATTTTTTATACAATAGTCTGGTATTCATAAATATGCATTATTTTAGATATAGGAATGTACCTGGGCAGACCAAATCTGCATCAGAAAACTGCACAAAAGCAAGAATAGATCGAAGCCGATTACGTACATCGAATGATAAAAACATCATCGGCGATTTATATGCTACATCGTGGGCAAAAGACGCGTTAGAGGTATTAATAGCAGTGATCTATAAGTGTCTAGAAAAAAATCCTCACTAAAGAAATTTAATATAACAATAGAAATGGAATAACCCCGTGTTTCAAAGTTATGAAGCACCAATTCCTTTGCTCAAACACATATCAACGTGTAATAAAAAATCATCTGTAAAGAGCAGCTTTTTTTCTTGTAATGATCTTGCACAATCAGATTTTGTTGAGCATCGATTCAGCAAGCAAGATTTCGCTCAGGCTCAAGTCATTGGTCAAGTTGACGATAAATTTGTTGCTTGCAAATTACCTTATTCACGAGCGATTGGACCTGATCTTCAGGACGGTACACAACAAATTTTAGTTTTAGTTGATCAACATGCAGCAGACGAACGTGTACGTGTTGAAATGCTGATGAAAGAGTTTTGTGATTTCAAAAATAAGGAACGAATGCAAAATATGAATGATAATGAGGTTCATCCAATAAGTTCTCTTGTCGAAACAGTTCAAATAAATCCCCCTAATAAAATAGTTTTAACAGAACGAGAGATTCGAGTTGTGAAGAGATTTGAAGCTAATTTTAATAGTTGGGGAATTTTTTTTAGTGATAATATGGATACAAAACAAGATAATGCATCGCTTTCATTCACTACACCATTTGTATCTCCACATTTTAACGCATCGTCAACCGACAATGACCATATCCCTATTTATGTTACCCATCTTCCTAAAATGATTGTTGATCGCTGTGTATTTGATTCACGAGTGACGCAAGAACTCTTACGTCAACATTTGTACTGGTTGGAAGACACGGGTGGAATTGGTATTAGTAACGTAGAAGTTGAAAAGCGTCTCGATACCAATGAGCAAAGTGATTGGAAGACAATTATAAGACAATGTCCGAGAGGGATAATTGATATATTGAATTCGAAGGCTTGCCGAGGTATTTATTTAAAAAAAAGCATAAAGTAACTAATTTACGAATAGATTCTAATATGTACATTAATTGAAGGTGCAATCAAATTCAATGATAAACTGACTCTGAATCAATGTCAAGAATTAATTTCAGAGCTCGCGCTCTGCGATTTTCCATTTCAGTGTGCACATGGCAGGTAATCCTTATTTCTTTAGAATGCCTACTTTATCGAGTTATAAACTATTTTACTAAAACTATTCTACTGCTTTTTTTGCCGTTGATCATATAAGGCCTTCCATGATTCCTATTATATATTTAGATGAATTTGCAAAAACAACACAAGCTTCTTACCGAAATAAATCGCAACTTAAACATAATAAATTATATAGGACGAACGAAAAATCCGAAACCACTTTTGATCAACTCGTAAATTTTAGTTGGAAGAAATGCAAAATTAATTTGGAGCAATTTCGACTATAAGGTCAATTTATTCATATATATTAATATAATAGAAGTCATTATTGGTATTACATTTATAAACTTGTACATGTTATCTATTATTGAATGAATTTAAAAGAATATAAATTATGAATTAATTAATTGCTTCAAAAAGAGAAATATTTGATGTCATTAAAAGTATAGATTAATAATTACATCAGCACTAAATTACAATGTGTTAAGACTAATTTTACTATTTCTTAAATTCTTAAAAACAAAATTTGGCAAGTTTTCTAAAAGACTATTATTTACAAACATCCAATGTGAATGTAAAAGGAATTAATTGGCATGATTTAAATGATATGGTTCAACATCATTCTCACGCTCTTCTGGATTGCGCTTCCAAATTTCCTCAGGTGAAAGGTCACTTCTATAGACAACTGAAGGACCTGAGGAATTATGATCAATTTTGACAAATCGTTGCGTTGATTGCTGTTGATCATTTTGCTGCCATTTTGTTGTCTGTCGCTTTTGAGTAGTCGTATTTAATTTAGGTTGTGGTTTACGTAGCAATGGTTTCAAAACTTGTTCAAAAAGTATAGTAGCACCTCTTGACTGATCATTCTGAGCCCAGTATAAAAATATTAATTTTAAAAAATTATAACCTGGTAATAAGTTAAGAAGTCGAGTTGACCAATAATCAGCTACTTGAAGCCAACCGTAAACAGTCCAGTAAGTTAACCATTGTTTTTGTTCTGCGATTAATTCATTATCGTTAGAAGGTTGTTGATAGATGATTTTGATTGAACGATAAGTGGGATAAACTACACCAACTAAGTTACATAGTAGATAGATAGAATTTTTGTACATGTGCCTAGCTGCTAAAGATGCAATAATAATAAGAATAATAAAGAGGTAGAAAGGAGATAAACCCAGGTTTACAAGTTGTGAAAACAACCAAGTTTTCATACATCTACTTTCTAAAAATGAAACGCGTGTCACAAATACTTGTCGAAAGAAGTCAGTTACAGGAACAAGATTTAAAGGACTATATTTTTCAACATCTGTCAAGACTTGTTCTAGGAAAGCAGTTGTTGGTAAGTTTTGAGGAGTTTGATCTTGGTTTGCATCAGTTTGCATCGTTTTTCACAGCGTCTCGTTATGCCATATAATACTTAAAAGATTTAGGCATCCGATTTTGATGATCTGATTTTAGTGGCTAATGTGTTACAAAATATAAGGTTGTATTATGACGCAGTACCAATTATGACGCACACGTGATATCTTGTGATCCAGTGATCAGAATCGGATGACATTCGATTCGCATCATCGAGACGAATCGAGTGGTGGTAAAATCATCCGATTCTGATCGCTAGATCACGAGATATTAATATTTAAATAAAATAAATAAAATTTTTAATTTTAAATTTTAATAAAAACTAAGCGTAATACATTAATAGCGGCTTTTTTTATTAAGAAACTTGACCTTAATTATTAAGACAATTTTGTTCGCCATAATAAATTCTACCTACCTCTAAATTTTCATAAAATTTAGATAATTTTTTATTAATTGTTATTTGTAAAAAACGTATATGCGTCATAATAGATTCTTTTGGAATAAAAACGTATTTTATAAAAACTGATTAATAAGAAATTATCCAATTTTTATGAAATTTTACAAGTAAGTATAACTTTTTACAATAAATAAAATTGTCTTAATAATGAAAGTCGATTTACTTAATAAACAATTTGCAAACGATACATTAAAGTTTTTTTTTTTTAGTCTTTAAAATTTAACCTTTAATTGCTTGTAACTTGTGACGTTGTAATCAGAATTGAATGATTCTGGTACCATTCAACTCGTCTCATTGAGACGAATCGAATGGTACCAAAATCGTTCGATTCTAATTGCTAGAACACGAGATATCATGTGTGCGTCATAATTGGTCCATGTATAATAGTTTATTAATTTTTTATCTTTTAATTTAATTTGCAATATCGCGTGATCTAGTGGTCAGAATCGAACGTTTTTGATACCATTCGATTCGTCTCATTGAGACGAATCGAATGGTACCAAAATCGCTCGATTCTGATCACTAGATCACGTGATATCGACCGTAGAAGTTACCTGCGTCATAATACTCCTCTTTACCTTATACTATATAATATATATAAGGAGGCTTCCAAAAATCAGCTGATTTCGGGGTGGGTAGATGGGTTAGCTAATATGTCAGGTGTAATTCCGACCAGAATTATGAGCAATGGCCGGAATTATAAATATATAAAGCCTAGTGAAACATATACTATAAAGCATGTGATACTATATTGAATGAATATTTAATGCTATAATACATAGCAATAGAATTGTTAAATTTTTTTTCTAATAGTACGTACGTACAACTTTTTGCAAATATAATTTCAATTAACTTTTACCAAAACGCCTCTATATTTTCAAAAACTGGCCCCTAAAAACCTCTTCCCAAACCCTGACCCTAACACTAAATACAAATATTAACGTGTTGAAAATTTTTATATAAAACATACAATAGGTGCAAAGCCACCATAGATGCATTTATAATAAATTTAAATTCTATGTATATAGTATGTATATACATACAAATATAGTTACTTTTTTTTTTATTTTTTTTTTAATATACCCATTTTATATAATATACCCAGAGTCTACAAGCCATATTAATCTTGAAATACTGTACTGAAAATTATTCTAAATTGGGAGGTTTTAAAATAAATTTGTTACATTATTTGCTATCAAAAAAACATGAAACAAAAACATCCAACACTTCTTTCTCTTTTGTAGAAAGACAATAATCTGTTACTGCACAACTTTCAGATTGTCGTTTGTGAAAGATCAAAGGGTGTACAAATTTTTTATACCGGGCGAGAAAAATTATAGTAAGAAAATACTAATAACATATAGGACAGACTAGTTGCGTATAGAGTTTAGAAAAAATAGAGGAGCAATGTTGATCAAAGCCAGGTAGTTTTAATTTGTCCATGTATTGAAGAATATGAACAGGGTTGAGGAAGTGGCCATCTTGACCTTTAGTAGTTGGTGATAAAAATTCGTTGTTTTCAGCTAATAAAATAGCTGCTTTTTTGGCTCTCCATTTAGAACAGCAATTTAAATCACTACACTTACGAATATTCAAAGAGTATTGATATATTTGGCAATGATTCTCTATCCACTTCCAAGGTATGTCTGAAGCTTTGCTGAAGGGGTTGATTTGTTGATCAATATATTTGACAAATACTTCTTTACTATATATATAGTCTCGTTGCCAAATATCACATAGCTTTTCTCCAGCATATAAAAAATTTTGCTTTGCTAAGTCTATATTATTAATAGTACCATTAGAACTAAGGTGAGAGCCAAAGTTATCAATAGGTAGAACAATGCCTGCCAACTTTCCTGAAAGAGTAGACATACTACACTCTACAAGATTGTAAGCAAATTGTCTAGAGGCATGGGTTCTGATAGTAAAGTAATCTAAATTTAATTCTACAAATAATTTACAATATTCCTTTATATTTTTTAGATACCTAGAGTTCTTATCAAGACCACTATCAACTAGCAAAACTAGGATTGGTTTGAATTCATTTTCAAATTTCAACTTACTACTTAGAACAGAATTTTCCATTATTAGTGTTAAATCAACCATATGAGTTGAGGAGAAAAATTTAAATAGCCATTGTGGGCGAATAAAAATCGACAATTGACTAGTGCACAAAGAATCGTTTGAATCTTCTGGATCAATTGTAAGGTAAACGGAAGGGGTTAATTTTTGTTTACTTCCTTTGAGAAAATCATGATCGAGTATCTTAACTGGTTCATAGACCATTTGTATGGTTTTAAATGTTCTCCTGACTGCTAGTATTCCAAGTAGAACTTTTGCCTTATCATTCTGTGATATAATCACAGAATGAAGGGCAAAAGTATTAGCAAATTGTTTTGTACTTTTTACCATATGCAAACAATAATGACTATCTATATACTGAGACATTTTATTTCTAGATACTGAGTTAATTTGAATTGCCATGGGGTGGTGGTGTCTTTTGGCATTCAGAGAGCTAATTCTCTTGGGCCATGTGTATGTATATAAACAGGTACGTGACATGTAAATTTGATATTTTTCCTTCATTTCTTTTTTTAAATAAAAAATAGTTTGTACTTTAATGACTTCTTTCCGTCTTTTTTTTGCGGCACTACTGAATTCGATGCATGAATACATCTGCTCCGGAAGGTTGGAATTTAGAAGAAGAAAAGAAGGTCACCTAGGTGAATCGTACCTGATAACTTCTCCTCTATTTTCTAAAGTCTCACGTTTTTTTTCTTGGCTTTTGGCTTGTGCGGCCATGTGTTGTTTTAATTTTTGTCTTTTTTTTTTTTTACTTCAATTTCTTGCTTTGTTTCAGTAATCTGAGCCAAAAATTTATAATGTCGCTTAGGATTATATGCAACATTGTATAACGCGTTTAATTCTTCAAACCAATATTCAGCTTGTGTTTGATTAATTAGAGAACTTTTCTGAGCCATTGTATTGTAGTATATTTTCTCAGTTTCTATTATAGAAGGAGAACTTGATGTAACCAAATGTGTTGTAGATGATGTAGAACTAATCCTATTAGATATAGACGAACTAGTTATATTTAATTTGGCTGAATATAGTGCAGGTGAAATAAATATACATTGAAGAGGTTGAAGTGGGGTTTGTAAATAATCATTTATTTTATTTTCTATAATTTCTTTATTTAAATTTCTCACAATCTTTCATTCTTCTTGAGCTTTTATGAAAATGGCTTGTTTTTTAGAATACGGAATTCTTATAGAAACGAATATAGAATAGGCATATGCATTACAAAAATTTTTATACAGATTGAAAGAGTTTTTGAATATTAATTTTTATCAAATTTGGAAGTACTTAAGAATGTTTGTATTTTTTTTTTGTTTTTTGATTTTGAGAGCTCTACAATATATATATATAATTATTCAAGAGCTAGTATTGAATATACTGATTCTATCAGCATGATGAGAGGGTTCGACTACATGAATTCCTAAGCATAATCACATATGTGAATATACAATTGTACATGCATATGTGCGACTACTTGTTGCTATTGATGTATTGCTCACGAATTCAGTAATATATATTTGATGATGTCTTTATTCAATTGTCAAACTTGGCCACCAAATTTATAGATTAATCTATATTTAGAGACATATATTGTTACAAGAAACTTGTATAATATGAGGATTTATTTAGAAAAGCATATGACAAAGGTAAGTATTTGCAATTAGCATTGTTTTCTGATTTAAAAATAATTAGCAATGCTTCATATGATTAAAAAAACTTTTTTTTTATGATACAGCCTTGTTTTCATGAGATAACAAAACATTTATTTATTATATTTTCTGCCAAAGCTTAGAAGCCTTGGATTGAGCTGGTTTTAATATTAGGAATTAAGATTTGTACCTTTTAGTTTTGTTGGCAAGTATACTTATTATACATGCTGTAGAAATTAGTTTTGGCTGTGCCGAAAGTATTTAGGCACTGATTTTTTAGCCGCAAGTCATAACTTATGTCGCAATCTGAAACAAATGCCAAAACCCAAAACATATATCATAATCTAAATTAATTGCCGCAATTGTTACTTTCGGCACTATATCAATATTTATGACATTAATTATGACTTTAGGTATTGGTCATAAATTGCAGTATTGATCATAAGTTGCGAATTGAATTTTAGATTTAGGCATTGCCACATATCAAAATTCAGGTAAAAATCATGCCACAATAATTTCTATGGCATGTATAATACTTATCGGTAAGTTGGATTTCTTATAATATGTCTTGGGGAATACTGTCTTTGGAAATAGTATTCTATGATTTATGCATCTTGTCTCAGACTGCTAAATGGCTTAATTACATAAAAATTAGCTATTTGAATTTATTAAATATAAATAATATTCAATTTAAAATATATATATATTAAAAGATATCTATATATATAATTTAAAAAGTATATATTATTCAAATTATTGCTGGCTAATATTCTAAATTAATAAAATTTATAAAATATAAATTATCACATGGAGCTACATAGTATCTATAGATGTATGC